GAAGGGAACAAAGATGCTGACTGGACTAGAGGGAAACAAGGATGCTGATTGGACCAGAGGGAAACAAGGATGTTGACTGGACCAGAAGGGAACAAAGATGCTGACTGGACTAGAGGGAAACAAGGATACTGATTGGACTAGAGGGAAACAAGGATGTTGACTAGACCAGAAGGAAACAGGGATGCTGACTGGACTAGAGGGAAACAAGGATGCTGATTGGACCAGAGGGAAACAAGGATGCCATTTGGAACGGAGGAAAACAAGGATGCTGATTGGAGAAGGAAACAAGGATGCTGATTAGAGAGGGAAACAACAATGCTAATTGGACCAGAGGAAAACAAGGATGCTGATTGGAGAGGGAAACAAGGATGCTGACTACACTGGAGAGAAACAAGGATTCTGGTTGGTTCCTCACCTTTTTCCAGTTACAATTTCATCCTTCACCAGGAGTATGGCTCCAAATTAAGATTTCTATCCAGGCAGTAATTCATACTTTAGAAAATATTCATTTATTAGTCCAAGTGCTTATACTTCTCCAGGTAGACAGAATAAGTATGATCACCTCCATCTAATAGATGAGGCAGTTGGGGGTTTAACAGTTGCCCAAAGTCACCCAACTAGTACATGGCATCTCCAGAAACTCTCCATAGTTCTCCCCTCACAACTCTGGCTTTTACAAAATAAAAACTCAACTCAGTTCCACAAAAATGTATTCAGTTGTGTATCTGACAGTCAGCCCTCACCTAAGACCATAAAAATGCTTCTACCCAGAGGGGGAGAGGAAAGGTAAGATAGGAGTGAAATACAACATGGCTGTCCACACTTCACACGTGTTTGCTCAACTCATGCCAAAGTTTGGGGAACATCTGCAACTTCTGTCATAACCACAAGACCGAAAACGATAATGCCACGATAACATGTTAGGTGTGCAATTCGAAGAGATTCACACGTCTCTGAGGACTGACAAAACCATACGCCCAGATCCACAGGCAACGGAGAAGGAAGCCAGCTGCGAACGGATCCATCTGGGAGGGGGACTCGGGGCTTGTCTGTCCGGAGAGCACCGCTTCTTGGCTATGCTAGACTTCCCCCCAGGTGCTCAAACACGGGGTCTGCTAGAGGACCCTGGGGAGCTTGCAAAGACACAGGTCCCCAGTTCTGATCCGATAGGTCTGTCAATAATCTGCCCTTTCAACCGGCACCCTCTGGAATTCGGCTACCAGCAGGGCTCAGACACTGTCCACGACTGCTCACGGCTGCCCCGTCCAAGGACAGCAACAGACCAACCGTCCAGGGGCGGCTCTTCCTCAAGTCATCCAAGAGGGTCAAAATCTGAAAGCGGCCCCTACTTTTAGTCCCTTTGATTGGGTAGTAAACTACAGCTGAAAGTTCTAAAACAAGCAAGAGCTCACGACCACTCACGTATTAAAGTTCAGCACTGAAATGTCCCATCCCCTTTTCTGCCTGAGACTCAATCCCTCTCTTCACCCATCCAGATACCTCCGAACAGCCAGTGCCAGAAATGCCCGGTCTGTCAATAAGGTAAGAGTTTTCTAAACTACTATCCATATGACTCAATTTGTCAGTAAAAACTGCCACCAGCGCTGTGCTTGCAGAAAAATGCCCATAAATGCATTATTGCGACGGGCAGATCGATGTCTATAATAAAAACAAATAGATTTAACAAGTGGCTGCTTCTCCGAGTGATGCCATTGGTGGGCCGCGCATTCAGGCTCGCCCCGGACTTCTGGGAACGAGCCACAGAGCTCGGGCTGGATACTCTGCTGACTTCACAAGTGTTACGGGTAGGAAATTATTCTAACGAGAAAACGTTCGAAGGAGTAGAGTGAACACACAAGGAGACATTTAGAGCTCTCGGGGTTCCTCTCGTGGTTACCCGCACACACACACACACACACGACAACAGATTTAACTACCATAAGAAAATGTCTCTGTAGAATTTGTAACTGGTTTTACCATAGCTGCATCACTGGCCAAACGAGTTCACTCCAGATGGGGGGAAGGGGACAGGAGGGCTGCCAGCCTCCTTGGAGAGTCCCCCACTCCTCTGCTATGCCCCCTAGTCTGACAAAAAACAACTTGTGGTACAAACAAACAGGTTTCAGCATTCAGCTCGTGGGCAAGGATGTCACCGCTGTGGGAGCGGCCCCTGAGATAGCCCAGGCATCTAGCTATTTAGCTGGAGCAGACACCAGGAGGGTGACCTCCACTGCCAGGGACTCGGTGCCCTTTGGCAAGACACCACCTGTGTCACATTCACATGTGAACCTGAGCAGCCCAAATCACCCGATTCCTTCAAAGGTCACAAAAGGTCACTAAAATGATTTATTCCTCTTAGACAGTTCGCTTTAACAGCTATGTAAAGAAGTAGTGATTCATTGTATACGGTTTCCCCAAACCCTATGGCCCTCCTATATAAGCTGCTTGTTTGCTTTTATTACTGTTAAGTTTCTTAAGTCAAAAGAAAACTAGACTCTTTCTTTCCACTGACCAACAGAGAAACACAACACACATCTTGCAATAATTTGTCTACAACCCTGAGTCTCAAACTCGCATCCACCTATGCCCCAGACAGGCACCCAGAACTCACCGAAGGGGGGAGATGATCAACCACGGGAAACGTGAATTCCTGAACACACCCCACATCCACGTTAACCACACACACACTCACTTCAGACCAAGGATGGGGAGTGGTTTGGTTCATTTATCACAAACGTGGATGAAAACGATGGTACACAACCTGCTCTCGCCCATTGGTAACATTGTAATTTATGTGTCTGATTTTATACTCTTTCAGGATTTGTTTAAATAATAGTCTGTGATACCACCCAATCTCTTTCAGAAAGTAGCTGAGTCGGAGGTTATCACCCCAGGAAACAGGCCCAGGGAGGACTGTAGCAGGGGTCCCGGGAGCTCAGGGCCCGTCAGAGACTGGAGCCCGATGTGCATGCCTGGAGTCACCGAGACACACCAGGAAGTCGGGACCCTCGGGGGAATGGACCTAGGAGAGGAACTCCATGCCGGGAAGGGCATTCGGCAGGGTCACAGTGAAGTGTGAAAACGAACCTGACGGTACTGCTAACAGATGACCACAGGAAAGATTTCCACAAAATGTGCTTTTGCTTCCTTTTCTTTTCTACCAAGAATAGACTCTCAACTGAAAAGGGCATCGGTGCCCCCAAAGGGGGGTTGGAATAGAACAATCTTGGTGGTTTGAAACACTGGCTTCCAAATAACCTCTGTAAAATTAGAAAACCAAAGACCATTTAGTAAGTTGATATTATTAAAAAATACTGAGAACAGCGAACTGCGCTGGGTCCCTGAGGCCTGGAGGAGACACTCAGCGGGACGTCAGCAAGGCCAGTTCATCCGCCGGCCTGGCCCCCCAGCCCTCTCTGTAGCAAGGGTGCAGGGAACCTGGGGACAGAGGCCTGAGTGGAAGACAAGGCCCAGGTGAGGCTCAGCGGATAGCCAGTCAGGACCCAGGGAGAGAGGGCGGCCTGAGAATCTCAGCAGCTGAACAAGAGATGTTAACCAGTGTGTCTGCACGGGGGCCGTATTTCTTTAAACCTGGCTCTGCACCTGGGAAGCCTTTGTAAAGCAGTGTCTAATAACAGTTAAGCCTAGCTCCTGTAATACAGACCTTTGTTAATGAAAAGACTGTTCACGTAGAAAAGTACCTGAATATACTGGACTTGAGGCCTGGTTCATCCAGCCCCCAGACTGTCAGACACACAGCTCTACTATTCAAACTCTAACTGCAGACAACAGCCCAGGAAGCAAGAACCCCTGTGGGACGAGGCCAGCCCTCCCTGCTACTTGCAGACACTGGGCCTTAAGTGTGGGCTGGTGTGAACTGCCTTACGGGGTAATGCCATGTGAATTAACCCAGTATCAGCTGCCAGCTTGAGTCCAGGATTACACGGTTTCCCTAAAATTGTTTTATACCCCCACTCCCACCCCACCCCTAAGTGTGATAGGCTTCTGCGTATCTTCTTCACCTCCCTGAGTGTTTAATCCATTGAGGACTCAGGAGAACCACCAAACCATCTATCTCCTAATCTTGTTTTGGGATGCGGCAGCGAAGCCTTCCTTAGAGACTCCTCCACAGGTTCGTATGTAAATAACCAGGCCCTTCTTAGCTCTTTACCTTCTACAGCTTTGCCTACTACCTCAAACAGCTGGGCCCTCTCTGATAACTGTCTACTCAGCCAAGCAAAACCTGTGCTCACTTACATGAAATGTGTCTCCAGGACAGAAAGCCAGCCACTGAGCTGAGGCACTGAGGGTAAACCACCCGGGATCCAGAAAGCCAGGAACTCAGACAGTGAGGAATGTAAGGTTCAGGGCTGCTCTCTTGCATTATCACAACTTGGGAACTGTGCAGCCTGGTGCAAATGGCTCTCAAACGCCACCTGTTTACTCCCAGTGTCCATGGAGGCAACCTGGGTGCAATGGATACGAACACTGGCCACGATAATGAAGACCCCCACTTGGTCCTCCTCTCCACCTGTCTCAAACAAGAGAGAAATGTGGAACTCTGCACACAAGGAGTATGTTGAAGGCTTGTTGCTAGAAAAGGCCCAAGGAGGGGCTTCTGGAAGTTTCTTGGGAACTTTAGGGGGAGTGGCAGCCCCCTTGGCGCTGGCAAACAGGAGAATGGGCAGAGATAGTGTGGAAGGTGTTGGCCAGCTGGAGGTAGGGCAGGATGGCCAGGTCCCCACAGCAGGCCACTGTCACTGCAGTGCGACTTGGAACAGGAACCCCAGACCCCAGAAAGCTGGGCTCATGTGGGCACACCTGAGCATACCTGGGCCCCCTGGGGGGTAGGAGGCGGGTCAGGGCGGGCTCCGCCAGGACAGTGGGGTGAGGGAGCCCGCAGGGCCACTTGGGCTAGACTGTCCCAGGGGCTGCAGAGGTCAGCTCTCCCCAGAGAGAGCCCGGAATTTAGGCAGGAGGGAGGCAACCCAGACACTCACCGCCTTGCCCAAGGCGCCGACCGCGAGCAGCTGCGAGCGAGCGCGGGGTAGCGAAGAGGTCTGGGAGCGCGGGTAGCCTGGGCATGTCCGGGGCGCGGGGGCGGGGCCGCGGGCGGGGCGGGGCCTGGACGCGCGGGAAGGGAGACGTGAGCACGCGGGGGCGGGACTCAGAGCGGGGCGAGGCCTGGGCCGGCGGAAAACAGGCCTGCACGCGGGGGCGGGGCCGAGCGCGGGCTCCTCCTCCCCGCCCAGGAGCACCAGCTGAGTGCGGAGCATGCCCAGTGCGGTGGCGCCCGGGTTGACCTGGCTCTGCGCATCCTCGCTGGTCCAGAGGCTCTGGCCTCCCCCCTCCGCCTCCGGATCTGTGCCTCAGTTTACCAAATGCCAGCCCCTTCACGTGTTGCCTTCGGCTGCTTGCCACGAGAAGTGTGGCGCCAGGTGCACCCAGGAAACATGTGGCTAGTGCCCTTGCGGGGGTAGCTGGGCGCTGAGCATGGGCTTCTCCCACAGGGTTGGCAGCAACCTGAAGGACCCAGCGGGGCACCATTCTGACTCAGTGCCAAGCAAGCAAAGGGCCCTGGGTCAGCCTCTAGTGCCTGTGGTGGGAGGGGGCCACATAGGGCCCCCTCGAATGCTGCCCGGCCACTGAGACCTTAAAGGTCTTGTGCAGACAGAACACAAGAGTGATGCATCTACAAGGAACACCTAGGACCACCAGCTGGACAAGCAGGAGAAACACAGTGTGCCCTAGACACCTTGATTTCAGACCTCTGCTTCCAGAAACATGAACTCTAACACGTTTGCTGTTTCAAGGTACCCAGTTTTTGGTATTTTTATGGCTGCCCTAAGAAAAAAAAAAAAAAGACACATTGTATCTAACTTGATTGGCATAATGACCCTGGGGAGTGGTATCTTCCCTGAGCTGCGGGGGAGGTTTCATACCCTTTGACAATTTCAGCGTTTCCCATCCCTGAGCCGCATGTCCTAAGCTCCTGTACTATGGGCCATCTAGGTTCTGTTTTCTTAACAGGAAGGACATTTTGGCCTTCTCAGTCTGTACAACTCCGCTCTTGGGATTGGCCCAATATTCATACCTTGGTGACTTGCATGACCCAGTGTATTAAATTGTTGATGAAATGTTGTTCAGAGGACCTCGCCGTGTTTGTTTGTGAGGAGGCCGGTGATTCTCCACCAGCTGCCCCGTGCGTCTTCCCCAGGCCCCCTCCCCAGGCCCCCGCCCCAGGCTATATCGTGGGTGAGACATTTTGGAAGTAGCTGCTCATGGAGAGTGAATTAGGCCCTTGATACCCAGTGGTGATCAATTCAAGGCACCTGTTCCCCGGCGAGTCTGGACACAGCCTCAGAATCCTTCTCAGCGCTGCACTGGACAGCCATAGCCTCTGTCACTGTGCCGCTTTAGGAAACTTTCAACAACTGTAATCTTCAAGGATTTTTATAACAATCTACTCCGTGCGAGGCCTGCACATGGGGTATACGCATCAAGGACAGCAGTACACCTCTTCTCCTATAGTCTGTTATCCTGGGAACTGGGTCCCCACAGAGCTGAAAAGGGAAAATAACAACAAAATCGAACCAGGAGACCTGCTGGTGTCCTGATATGTATGTTGTGGTGTGATTTCACCATGAATGCATAAATCACACTTTTCTTTTTACCTGCATCATATTTTCATACGAATTCCTAAACTGTTAATAAAAAGAGGATAGCTAGTGTTCACATCTCTGATTCCCACCTCGCGACAGGAAGGCCAGTGTAGTGACCCAGTGGCCCCTTAGGTGGAGGATGCGATGTCAGGAGGGTAGGTGAGGGACAGAGGAGAGGGTGGCGTCCAGGCGAGGCGCATGGGCCTGGCCCGCCTGGCGGGATGAAGTCGCCCTTGCTGAGGAGGCTGAAAGACGCTGCAAATGCTTCACAAGGGGCTCCGGTGTCAGGAGCCAGAATGAGGTCTCAGAGCCAAGGGGACAGGAGAAGGGCCACTGCCCCTGCCCAGGGACTGGCCTTGCTAAAGGCTAAGACTCTGAAATGTGGTCTCTCGGACTCTCCAGCAAGCAGAACGAAAATCCACACCCCCGCACTTCCTGGTGAATTCTTCCCTTTTTGGTGAGAATTTTCAAGAACTCAAAGAATTCTCTCAAAGCTCCCCCATTGTCCCTTGTCCCATCACACTGAACCCTCACCCACGTACACTTCCTGTTGTTAAAGCAGCACAAGCATAGGTCGCCCCGGGAGCCGGACAGGTGTGCAGGGAGCACAGGTGGGGGGCTGAGGCTGGGCCTGGGCCTCCTTCTCTGCAGGATGATAGCCTTGTACCAGGTGGGCCAGGTTCCTCTGGGGGTCCCATCTTGGGTTAATAAATCCCATCCCATTCTTCTCCAGACACAGGGAGCCGTGCAGGACGTCTGCAGAAGAGCTGGACAGCCGTAGCTGCACGTCCTCACTTCGCTCTGGCCTCACAGGCCTCCCCGGATGTCCTTAAGACCAGCCAGCTTCCTTCTGGGCCGTGGGAACAATGTTCATTTGCATCTCCTCTTTAAACATCCAAATAGTTACCTTTCAGGTTAAACAAATGAACATGACATGTGATTGCTTCCAATGATTTGTGGCCCAAGAAATGTGTTTAATAAGCCTCTCTCCCAGCTACTTTTGTGACATGAGAGACCATTTACAACAAAGCTGTCTTCAGTAGTCAAACATAATCCCCACTACCCTGCCTTGGGGAAAAGAGGGGATTTGGTAACGATCACATAAAACCTTGTGTGATTTGAAAGCCCCCAAACTCTGGACAAACGTGCCAGGGCCGTGTAACAAAAGAAACATGTTAGGGAGCTTGCACTGTCGGTGTTTTACACACGGTTTTCTTTTCTGATAGCATCTCCCACGGAAGGCTTTGCCGATTAACGCAATTGATTTTCTCAGCCCCCCGTGTTCCTGTAAAGGTTGGAGCCGAGAGCCGGCCAGAGTCAGCACCTTGGCCCTGGGTGGTGCTGTCCCCAGCGTGTTCAGACAGGGGAGGGGGCCCCAGTGGTCAGGAGCAGGGAAGTGGGGCCAGCAGGACCGGGGCAGGTGCCAGGTCTCTCTGATTACACGCTGATCTCAGCAGAGGTGGAGCCACTGTGGTGCGTCTGCAGCGCAGAGTGTCATCCGCAGGCGAGACCCTGGTGTGCCTGGCCCTGTGCTGCGGGTGGCCCCACATGGAGCTCACCTGTTGAGCACCAGGGTATCTGCTTGGGTTCAGGGGATGATGGAAGGAAAGGCATGAAAGAGGAAATGAACTGCATCGGCTTTCTATCGGGTGAAACGCCCCCACAGGCAGAGACCACTGTTATTTGTGGAATGTGGGTCCGTTGTCCAGTAACCACGGGACAGAGATCACCTCAGATCTTACCTAGCTTGTCCTTCCAAAATGTGGCGACTTAGAAAATTGAGTGCCCAGACAATGTATATAACCCATGTAAACAAGTGAATGAGAGTGCATCTTCTGCCCGGCCGGTGTGGCTCAGTGGTTGAGCATTGACCCTGCACCAAGAGGTTGCCGGTTCGATTCGGTCAGGGCACATACCCAGGTTGTGGGCCCCAACCCTCAGTGGGGGGCAGCAGGAGGCAGCGAGTCGACGTTCTCTCTCATCGATGTTTCCATCTCTCTCTCCCTCTCCCTCCCTCTCTATCTCTCTCATATCAATAAAGAAAAAAAGAAAAGAGTGTACCTCCTGATGTGTGTGCATTTGGGTAGACCGGCTCGAGAATGGCTTGGGCTTGGGGGGGGCGGCCGCCTGCCTGGGCAGTCTGAGTGTGGATAGCTCAGGACGGGGGTTCGCTGGATGCTGGCCTTTTGGAAAGAGGCGCCTACACTCATTACGAAGTGTTTTTGATCCATTTTCGGGAAGGGCTTTGTTTCTAACACACTGTTGGCAGTTTGGGCAGAATCTTTTAAGTGGTGTGAAGTGCACCTGGGCGCCCGGAGGAAGTGGGTCGCCCCGCCGCCTCTGCCTTCTGGGATGAGCAGAAGCGCCTGGCTTTGTGTGACTTGGAAATTAAAGCAAGAGACATGGGGATTTTGATGCTGAGATTGTGATCTGTCCTCGTTTGCTCTACCTGGGAAACTACAAATGAGAATCAAGACAGGGAAGCCCACCATACCAGGTGTTCTGTCTCAGGCTCCAAAACATTCATCTGCAAAAGACGAGCAGTGTGTCCCTTCCAAGGGGAGTTCTCCCGCCTCGTCCGAGGGCACGGAGCCACTGAGGAGGCAGAAATGGGGAGGCGGTTAGCATGTGAGCGGCAGAGTGGTGCCGATGATACAGTGGCTGTCTGTCCCTTTGTCCTATTGTCTGCTAGCATGAGGTAATCTGGGGGGTCAGGAATGAGAGTGAAGTCCCTCCATCTGTCTCACCAACAGCCACTGGAGACACAGCCCTGCTTGGTCCAGGAGGCAGAAGAACAGGAATAGGACCGAGCGGCAGGGAGCGGGAGACCGAGAAGGTTGGGTGACTTCACCCCCAGGGACGGGCATGGTGAGGAGGCCTCGGCAGGTGTCAGGAGGAAGCCACGTCCTAAGTGCCTTCTTAGGAATAAACTAGTGCAGCTCCGGGGACCAGAGGCTGGGCCAGTTCTCCTGTGTCACCTCCAGATATGACCCATCTCTGCCTGTGGCCACAGTGCTGCGTCCTTCTGCCCTGCCTCCCCAGCACTGAAAAAGATTCTCTCTCCATCTTCTGCTAGACCAGAGCCCCGGGAAGGGCTCTGTGTGGCCCAGCACAGGTGACCAGGACAAACTCTAGACCTATCAAAGTGGCCGGGGGGATAAGGTACCATCCCAGCCAGTCACGTGTACCTGTGTGGCCAGGAGAAGAGGGGGAATGAGGAAAGGAATGGGATGGTGGTAAGGACAGGGTTAGATCAGGTAGAGCGCCACTGAGCTCGTACCTGCCTGCTCACTGTGACGGACAGCCTACTGTGGCCCAGCGGGCTCCACCCCGCATGCTCACTACTCTCTCTTTAGTCTGAACAAGTATTCATCACCAGGG